TATTTTACAAAATACTAGTCGACTAAAACACGGCCAAGACAAGTTACTTTGTACAGACCAAAGGTAACCCTTATGTTATTTGATACGGTAACATGAGTGCACGTGAGCCATTTGGTTGTAACTTCTTTATTATTAGCCAGGCGCGGGTGAAAGGTCAACATAATAAAAGTAATAAATATATATAAATGTATAATGTTATGAGATTTAAGCTATATCGTCTAAACATTTATGTTTTTGTGTTATAATTTGTGTTCGTTCTAGAATGAGATGCATAATTTATGCTTATTTCCTAATTTTTATGGTGGTTGCAAGATCAGTCAAATTTACCTAACCCATTCAGGGATTAATTACTGAAAATAACAGATAAAATATAAAGTTTTTTCTTAATAAAAGTTTGATAACTATTTGGATATTATAAAGATTTCGCATGTGAAATTTTGAAATTTTCTAATGCACAAAAGTATTTTTAATGTTAAGATGAAAATTACTTTGCATGATAAATAGGCAAGATGTGAAAAAAAAAAAAAGGCACGAGACAAACACTGCTTTACAAATCTTAACTCTTACTAAAAAAATTAGATATTTCGCAAATGAAAGCATTGTAATATTTACTGATAATCTGCCAAATTCCGTTAACATTCGCTTACTAATTTAGAAGTTATAGCATGAAAACCATAACAAGCACAAAATGGTTACGAGGTCAGTCCCAGGGACCGAGCCCGGGTTGAAAGAGTTAAACAAAAATAATTTAGTGTAGTAGTACCATTAGTATAAAAAAAGTAGAGCTAAGCTTCCTCAACAGTCAACAGCAAAAAAAAAAAAAAAAGAAAAGAAGAATCAGGTAAATATGATATTTCTTGTTTTTTCAGGTGTATTCTATATTTGTTTTTATAAAATGGGCAAAATTTAAAACTTAGAAAATTATTACATTATATAAGGTTAGATTAGGTAAGATAAAGAAAAATAACAATAAAAGATTTTCATGAGGTAAACTCGTGAGTAGCCTGTGCCTTAAGTAATTCACTAGGGTGACAGGAGCTATATGTTACCCAAATGACTTACAACTTGTGTGGTGGGGTAATTAGTTAGACATGGGTCAAAGGGTAATAAAACAATAAAATTTAAGTAGTAACATGTATACTGTTATGAGATTTTTTGATGTTTTATGGTGGTTAC